TCTCTCTCTCTCTCTCTCTCAGCCTCTCATCTACTTACTCTCTTGTTATGCACGGATCGCCACCGTCATCGTCGTCATCTCTACTTTTCCCGCGAGGTTTGTTTGCACGAGAACACTCTAGAGACCCAATGTCACATTTTACGTCATTCAAATGTACAAAATATACGAAATACAAGAATTTTCTCTCTTTAAACTTAATAAATTTACATTTAAATTTAATAAGTTTACATTTGAAATTTTAAGTAAATTTGAAAAAAAAAATTTGAGTAGGTCCTTTTACTGTTATTGTATTACTGAATTATTTATTTCAAAAAACGTATTGCTTTACAAAAATAGAAATACCATTATTCTTATTTATCTCTATACGAAGAAACTTGTAAAACTGATAAAATTTATAAATTTTACGATATTCATATCTTTTTTCAACTTTTTTTTATTATTAAGAAATTCTTTTAAGTATGGTTATTTATATTTTATCAACTTTACAATAAATTCCATTCTCTTAAACAGAATCAGTGCATTATTATTAAAAAGTAATGATAAGGACAGCAGTTATAAATATAGCATTGTACCTAGGAAAATTTTACTGAAAAAAATAAATTAATAATCAATTGTTTTAATTATAAGATGAGAAACTGAGTAGTTTTACATACAAACTTAAGAGTAAAAAATATAATATATAAATATTAAAATTCTGAATCTTTTTAATTAATTATAAAAATTTCATACATATTTGTTGAGATTTTTTTCTAATAAAAAGACCATCCAAAATATTTAAAAAATTATATTTTTCAAATATATATGGTTATTTATTCATTTTATAGCAAAATTTTATTTCTACAGTTCATAATTAGCAAAATATAAAAAAAAAAGCAAAATGTATGTGTGGGTGTATGCATAAGTAAAAAATGTTCACTGATCTTTGATCTTTGAATCCTGTATTCCTCTTTATTTTAGTCAATAAAATTTTCACTGATTTAGTTTAGGAGAACGCAGTACCTCTTCTCTATTATTCACGCGTGTCCGAGAAATCAATATCAAACTCGCCGATACGGGTGGAAAGATCGCCGTCGGAAGTTTTTCCACGGACGCGCGTCCACAGAAACGCGGAAAATCGAGGGTGAGGAGGTCCCTGTTGTGGCACGGCGGCGGGCCGAAGGAAAGAAGGGAGGGAAAGGAAAAGAGCAGGAAGGACGCCCCCAGGATGGCGCTTAGCCAGCGACGCTCCCGGCAGTGTCTGCCTTAATATCCGCCACTAACATTATTTCATAAAAGTATTACTATAAATCCAAACTCACGTTATTTAAGCACCGTGCCTCCACGCGAGCGAGTAAGGGGGGTAGTCGCCCTGCTCGCTCGCGGGATCTCACCAGAAATCACCTCCGCCGGTCCCCGTTCCTCCTGGCCGCCTCGTCCCTTCGCGGAGTTCGCCTTACATTATACCGGGCGAAGGAGCGCGGCAGGCAAGTTTTGCCACCCTCTTTTCCCTCCGCCACATTAGAGATATATTATGCAGATAGTAGAGGCGCCGCCGTCGGCCGAGGCGAAGCGATTTCGAAGAAGGGGGCAGAACGGGGGGGGGGGAAAGGAGCTGCGGAAATTTAAAACTTTATTTACCCTACGCGCCGAACGATTTTTCGCAATCCTCTGTCTTCTCCCTTCACCTCTCCCCCTCCTGTCTGTGTCCACCCACCGGATGTATGCACAGGATCTGCACTCGTTATTTGATGCTTATTTATTTATTCGTACGCGAGTGGCGTGGCCGGCGCGAAAAACGTTGGGAAGGTGATAAAAACCATCCCCGTGGACTTCCTCCGTTG